CAAGATGACCGAAAATATTATTTTGCTCTACCTTCCCTAAATGCAAGAATAGAACCAAATAAATTGCAATCTTTGTCAAAAATTTTCTAACAGGACTCTAACCAGATTGGTTAGAAATAAAATACACCCAAATACCAGACTCAATATCATCACATCATTCCACAACCATGAATGTTAACTGAACCAGTTCTTTCACCTAAGGGATAGTGAACTAATGTTACTACCACTAGCTAATTTGGGTAATCTTTTGACCTCCTAACCTTAAAATTTATAGGTCTCAATCAATCTAAAGAGGACCATATACAGTACTGTACAGTGGTCCCTCGGTTAACGAACGGTTCGATTAACAAATTACCTCCCATAAGAAACTTCAATTCGGTTAATGAACAAAACTTCGATTAATGAAATCCTTACGAACAACACGTTTTGTTGTGAGCATCAGCTGAGCAGCTGATGGGCTAGTCTGCCAATTCAATAATCTGTTCTATGTTTACATTCGTTTCCAGTGGAGTAAATATCATGAAAGTTGTGCTCTTTAATATTTTTGCATTTTTTATATTAAAATTATTAGTCATTTTAAAATTTAGTTAACATATTAATAATATATGCAGTACAGGGAACTAGTTTTTTGTGCGCCCATCAGCCACTTGACTCAGCTACCAGGCGTCAGTTTCGTTTTGTTGACAGTGGAATGAACATCTATTTTGTTGGGGTCTTGAATATTTTTGCATTTTTACATTGAAATTATTGGTCATTCTGAAATTTAGTTAACATATTGATAATATATAGCACAGTGCAGTGTTGTTTTAAATAAAACAATCTTGAATTACACCTAGTGAACTTAAAATTTGATTGGTGAAATGACTGCATCAAGCATGGGTCCCCTGAAAGGTGATTTCTTCTCCATCCCCACTTCCTTCTCTTCTCCCTTCTCCTCCACCCCCACTTCTAATTCCCATCATCATCATCAACCAGGAACCTTCTACATACACACCTCAAAGTAAGTGTACTTTACTGCATTTTTTTACTTTGTATGTACTTTTCGGTGAGCTGGAACCAATTACCCAATTTCCCATTGAAACAGTGGATTCGATTAACAAAATTTTCGGTTAACAAACGACTCTGTGGATCGAATTGTGTTCGTTAACCGAGGGACCACTGTATGTGATTTATCTGATGTAAAGTAAAACACTTCCTAGGATGGGCTGAACTTTGGAAAAGTTTATTTGGGGTATGTACACCCACTAAAAAATTATTCTGCACCCATGTCATATTGTATCAAGCCGTGAGGGTGCCGAATAATTTTTTATTGGGTGTACAACTTATAGGCACACATCAGGATGGGCTCTTTGGCCGGTCTGTACTGTAGTGTAGTGTACACCCACTAAAAAATTATTTGGCATCCTTACGGCGTGATACAATATGACACGGGTGCTGAATAATTTTTTTAGTGGGTGTACTGTACCTCCCTCTACCCAGTAACAGGAGTGAGCAAGCCTCATAATTTCCTGGCCCTGGCTGGGTTACTACTAGTTGACATCTAAGTCAGGTAACCTACAGTATATGGGTCACTGTGCCATTTGATTCGATAATCAATCAGAACTTTTTTTCTACAATGAAGCCATTCTTGTTTTAATTTCTTATCCCATCTTGTCCTTTTAATTCCAGTTATCATTGTTCAGAAACAAGTTTAACTACCATTGTATAGCGTGATATACAGAAAAATGGGCAGGCAGTATAAGGTTGAATAAAATATTAAGGGAAAGACTGAAGTAGAAGTGAAAAAAGACACATAATAGATGCAAGAGAAAAGTAAATTAAAAAATCAAAATACAGTTGGACCTTAGTACAGGTAATTTATACTGCATCATACAACTTAAGTCAGCTTTTTGTCTTTCAGTTCAGACTTCTTAATGGCTAAAATCAATTGATTCTCTCGGTGTTAAGCTGCACCAGATGCTGTGTGTGGATGTTAATTCTGAGATTAGTTGGAAACTTGTTTCCTTCTCTGCATGAGGTGGTGTGATATGTAAGTACTGTATATAGGACCTGTCTTGCATTGCCTGGTACTTTTTTTTTTAAATTTCTAAAGCCTGAAAAGATGTTCGTAATATGGGGCCTCATCATCTCTAATTTCTTATTCGTACTGTCACTATCATCATCCTCAACATTTTACAGGGTACTTTACTTTACTTTTATCCTCTTCGCCACTGATCGGCTCGTTAGCCGTTTGGGCAGTCGGTCATGTCTCTGTTATGCACTGTTGGCAAATACTGGGCATGCACTGACTCCTGAATATATCAGAACCTGCTCCAGTGTTGGTCAAGTCTGGTCTTAAATGAACTCGCACTCGGTGCCATCAAAACGCTCTCTGGCAGATTGTTCCAAAAGTTCACAATTCTCACTCCGAAAAAATTTGCCCTCACAGTTTTCTGGACTTGTGGCTTCTTCAACCTTGAGCTGAGACCCCTTGTGGGGCGGACATCTGCCAGCTCCAGTTATGTACATTCGATTGAGTAATGCCCCTGAGATGTTTATACACTCTGATTAGGTCGTCCCTTGCCCGTCTGAAGTTTAAGCTAGGCAGTTGCAGGCACTCCAATCTCTCTGGGTAACTGAGGTTCTGTAGAGCAAACACCAGTCTGGTGGCCCTCCTTTGGATATTTTCAGTCAATTGACAGTCTCTAGCATACCATGGGGACCAGATGGGCTGACAATACTCCAGACGGGGAAGCACCTCACTCTTGAAGATTGTGATGAGCAACGGACCATCCAGATATCTAAACGACATTCTTATTAGACCTACTAGTTTTGTTGCTTGATTTATCTTCTTCTCACAATGGCCCAAGAGCTCAAGTTCATTGTCGACATACACACCCAGGTCTTTTTCACATTCGGTCTAAAGTAATGCAGTCTCTTCATCCTGTTGGGACATGTGATATGCCTCCTTACTATTGGTGCAACCCAGGAGCATCCTTTTGCACTTTGTGACACTGAAACTTAGGGAGCCATTTCCTCGACCATTCTTGAAGCTCAGAGATCTTTCTGCAGCAAATTCACAGTCTGTTTGGTTATTAATTTCCTTAAATAACTAGGCATCGTCTGCAAACATTTGTATGGAGGAGTGTACAGATTCTGGCATGTCATTAATGAAACAGACAGACAGCAACGGGCTCAATACACTGCCCTGTGGTTCCCCGCTAGTCACAGGCGCAAATGATTATTTTGTACCATTTATCACCACACACTCTTTGCGGTCAAGCAGAAAGTCTCGATCCATGCTGGGACACTTCCCCGAATCCCGTACCCTTCCAGTTCAGTTTTCAGCCTTTCATGGGGTAAGCTGTCGATAGCCTTGGCAAAATCTAGGTATATATTGTCGATATTTCTTCCTTTTTCTAGAATTTGAGTCCAAACTGTGTTGGTATTCCTTTACAAGGTTGTTTCGTAACAGATGTTCCATCATGCATCTCTTAAGATGCTCTCTAGTACAGGTAGTTCTGCTATAACGTGATAATTGTGTTCTTGTAAAATATCGTGTTATAGAAAATCGCGTAATAGAAATAACAGGGTTTATGGAGAAAATAGGGTTAGGTGCAGATTACTCGAAATCGAAAAAATTTAGTAGTTAGCCTAACACAAAGGATAGCACAGTCTAAATAAATGTTACATTCATATCTAATAATGAAATCATACAGTAAATGTAATACTTTACCTTGAAAAAATATGAATGTAACTTGATGGGGGAGAAGGGTGATTTTGAGGTTGATAACATCGAGCTTCTCTTCAAGTGTTATATCCTTTCTTTTACGATCATCACCGGGAATTCTATCACCAGAACGCTTCTTGGAGATATTCTTCTTTACCATATTCACAGTTAATACCACAAAATTGGAGAAATAGTAAGCAAAAATCGCGTTATAGCAAACAAGCGTTCGCGTTATACAAATATCGTTCCTAATTCATAAATCGCGTTAGAGCAAATTCGCGTTATAGCAGAACTCACTGTACTTTGCACTCTATGCTGGTCAGACTCACTGGTCTATAATCATTCTTGGAGTGACGATCGCTCTTCTTGAATATAGGACCCTCATAAGCCATCTTCCAGTGAACAAGGACCTTTTGCTCCTCCAGGCACTTGCAGAACAGGATCTTAAGGGATTCCGCAAGCTCGTTACTTAGTTCTCTTTACACTCTGGGGTGTACCGTATCTGGGCTGGGACTATTGTGAATTTTTAGTTTTGACAGTTTATTTCCTTTAACCTCAGTGGTGAAAAGGATAAAAGAACACACTGTGGGTCAGCCCTGTGTCAAACCGTCTTTCCTCAAATGCAGGAAGATGGTTCGCATCCTCTCTTGTGAACACTGATGAAAAAAATTTGTCCAATGCCTCTACCTTATCCTGGTCAGAATCTGCCATTTTCCACAATTGCATGGGTTAGCCATGATTATCTGATGGTAGCTGTTTAGAAAAACTTAAATCGGATGTTTTCACCACCCCAAAACCAGGGACCCCACCCCTGTAAATGCAGCAGAAACCAGGGGATGGGAACAACTCTGATGACCCAATTGCTATCAGGCAAGTTGAACCAAAGTTTTATGGCTGGATGCTTTTTCTAACACCAACCTAGAAGGTGGGAACAGCTCCGAGATAATAAAATACCGAACAGTACTTAGTATACTATATACAGTACAGTACAGTATAGCACTTGTACATAATACCTATACCATGATTAACATATATTTCTGAGCATAAACAAGTATCTTTATAACAAAGACATATGAGGTCCAAGCTGAGCAGCAGTATGAATGTGGCTACAGAAAACAACCAAAACATAATACAGTAAACAATACACATCCTATGGTAGTGTGTCCAAGGGGGGTACTGAAGCCAACCAATCACTTTTTACTGAAAATATTTATGGTGTCTGGCTGACTAAGCAGCCTTGACTGCACTTTTAATATGCCAATTACAAGAATTAGACAGTAAACATACTCACAATGGTGTGGTGTGGTGGCGTAGCAGGCGTAGTGAGGTGAGGGGGAGAACTATAGTACGGAGAGCTTGGGGATACAGGTGGTGATGGGTATGGCCAGTAGAACATTGTTGGATAAGCCACTCCTGGGTATGTTGGCAGACGGGGAGTCACAGCTCCAACAGCATTCAGAACTGGAGGAGCAGGACCCAGGGGGAAGGCACCAAAGGGGGGTGCAATCACAGTGCCTCCTGTAGGGTGATAAGGGATCAAGGATGGTCCTAGAAAGTATTGGCACTCACGGCCGTATCAATAAGTAACTGCACAAGTGACAGTGTGATTTTCAGCCGACATAATATATGCCATAGGCATACCCAGAGTTGATTTCACAGGGCAAAATTTCCAGGAAAATTACTAGAAATAAGCCTCGACAAAATCACTTATTTGGTACATGTCAGTTATATTACATGTGTCAAAACCAACACTGTCAAGAGCACAGAATAGTAATTGTTACATACACTCTTCATTCTTTCAATCATAAGTGACACCCATATATAAAGCACTAAAAATCACTGCTGGAAACTTGATTGGCACATTAATGACATCTTTCCATCACTAGACAAAATGTAAGAACATGAGTATGAGAGGTCAAATGTAACCAATACTGTATACAGTATATATATATATAGGACATGACTGTACTTATGAATGATTAAGCAAATGAGTCATGATTTGTATGAGAATCTTTCTGCTAACCATAAAACTAAACTGAATTGTCACCCTACTCAACCATACAATAAATACATACATATAATCAAAATGGGAAAAAAGACAATAAGACTGACACCATCTACTGTATTTAAAGGCAGGCAAAGGTACCAATATATCTCCTCATGTGAATGCTACTTGGGCAATTAAAGATAAAAATTCTACTTCTTTTTACATCATCATCATATTAAATACCCACTGCTTGCCTTTAAAATACTGCAGCTTCAAGTAACTACAACCATCACCAATACCACATGCAACCAGTACCACCACCAAACCACATACTCTACTGTTCCACCACATTTAAAGACATGCACAACAACCCATTATTGTATCTACCACAAGCACCACCACCAAAGCCACCACCATACACCATCACCACCCAACACCATATCTACACTACTCCACAACACCACTACAACACCAGAATGCAGCCTGCAACCACAAAAGGTGTAAAGCTCTTGCCTACCTTGTTACCTTAATCTGCCAGGCCCACGAGCCTCTTATGAGAGAGTGGCTTTGTTTGACATAGAAGATGAGAGGTGACCCATACACCGGAACCAGAAAACCACTGGGAATATCTTAACAGACTTTATTGGTCTTAGCAAAGTAATAATGGCGCACACACCAAAGTCCAGGTAAGTCAAATTAACATCTGGAACATTTTCTGGGCTGACTTCAAGTCAGATATCACACTTAAATGTACTAATCTGGTAGATACCAGATTCATATGAAACAAAAAAAAAAAAAGTCATATAAGCCTTGAAAATGTTCAATAACTGAACTAAATATGAAGCTATAACAATAGAGAAAACTACTGAATGTACACACAAAATAACAATAGTGCAGATATCACACTTAGTGGAATGTATTACAGAAGTGTTAGAGGACCATGTTGCCCCCCGCATCTGGCCCCTCAACAGCCCAGCCAGAGGGCACATGACCACGAAACTCTACATGCTCAAGCCAACACTGTAAAATTAATCTGGGGACATTTTATTAAGAGTTTTTTCCTATTTAGAATTATCCATCATAATATTTTCATTTGAGATTAAATAGTGTAAAGGCTCTATCCCAGTTATAAAAGTCTAAAACTTAATTGACTTTGAGTTGTAAAGTCCTGTGGCCAGCACCTAAGTCCTACCAGAACCCACTGTAGGGCTCACTGCACATATTCCCACTGTGGTGGACTGATCTACCACCACACCACCACCACCATTACACTGCCAACCAACCATCTGATCTGGTGCACACGGCTGCTGATGTCCTAATATATATGCTTTCTCGTATATTATTAAATGTTTAACTTACAACTAAAAATCACTAATTCTATACAGGTGCTCAGTCTTGTATGAGCAAGAAATAAACCAGAGAAGGTGAGGTACCCATCTGGTGAGAATATATGCAGCCGTGTACACAACAGCCAACTCAAACCTTCACACCCATACACACGCACACCCACATACTATATCATTGATAGATCTTAGAGATTGACAACTACTATGGCATAAGAGTATGACTTCTAGGTGAACAAATCTTCAAATGATAAAAATGTAGTTCTTAAAAGTATTATATTTCTTATACTTTAGTTATATTCTATAAAGCGATAAAATAATCTAACACTTTAAATATGCTTCAATAGACACCTTACTCAAATCCAATTCAGTTGCCTTGTGATCTAACATCCATCAGACAGACGCTGAAAAAACCAAGGATCATCCATATCCCACGGGACACTCACAGCAACCACACAATGTTGGCCAGCAGTGTTAACATCTCTGGCAAAACTAGGTGCAGCACACCAGAATAACAGCAGATTGCACACACAAGAGGCTGCTGCACCATACACACACACAATCATCACAATAGTTCATGGGAATGGGCAGGATGCAGTGAACGCCTTGGTAACTGGCATGACAACTACTGATACTACAGATTGCCAGTTGCCAAAACCTACCAATATATCACTAGTACCACCTGCTTTAACCCATTACAATGTGCTCTGCATCTCTCTTGTCAACCACTATGTACAGGTGTGTGTTACGCAGCACTGGATTTGAGTATTACATGGTAGGGAACATTGGGGGAGGAGGATATATGGGGTGTAAGAGGGAAGGGTTTACAAGAGGGGTCCGCTTCAAGGCCCCCATGCCAGCAGCACCAGTGTCCCCAGGGAAAGCCTGTTCAAAGCTACGCTTCTGTGTGGCTGGTAGTCTAGCTCCTGCTATAGCAGTGGCTGCAGCATAGGGCATTGGTAGAAGAGGAGGTCCCATTGGGGGTTTCTGAACATTAGGTGCCCCTTGAGTATCTCTACCTTGAGCAGATGACATTGGCATTAAAGTCATCTGTGGATGCAGCCCACCAGCAAGAGAGGGGCGTGGACTGGTGAAGAAAAAAACTGGGTTGGTGGCTGTGCCTATTTGTGATACGACTGGCATTTCTCCGTAGTGCCCTAGCAAGGCTGGAGGCATTGCAGACATAGTGGGCTTCATTGAAGTGAGGAGAGTTGGGGGAGCTTGAGAGGTGTGAGGCATCTCTAAAGGACCTTGGAGGGCAAGGGGTGGCCTGTGTGGTGGGGGACCCATAGGTGGGGGAAGTAGAAGGGGGGTATCGGATTGCTTGAGGGGGCTGGGGGGCATACCTGGGAGTATGTGACCATGTGGAGGTGGGGGAAATGGATGAGCTAAACCTGGGAAAGGGGGACCTGGGGGACGATGAGCACCAGGAGGGGGTGGTAAACCTTGGTGATGATGTAATCCCCCAGGTAGGGTAGTGGTGGTACTGTCCCACACCAACATACCCGGGGACACGACGGGTCGTTGGGCAGGGAGGCCGCCAGTCAGCACCATATTCATATCTTCCCCAGAGCACTGAAATACTTCTATATAACGCTGCTTTTTTCCGAAGACCATGTAGCGATGATGCCTCTGCTGAGCAGCCATAAATGCAGAATGCTCACTATCCATTTGGATGAATGCTTCACCACTTGGTTGACCCTGTTAAAACAATAATTAAGCTGAATTTCACCATTAAATTCTAAATCTTACTTTCTAATCTCCATCTCCAAAATATTATTTATAAAATTTATAATATGGGATACAGCAATTTGATACCACATTGTCTTTTTAAAAAATAATTCATTTTAGCCAGAAAATAATTATGAACCATAATTAACTTACATGGGCATTGTACACCATGTGGACTCCTTGGTAAACAATGCTTTTGGCAAGTTCTCCTAAGAATTCAAGGATGTGCTCCACCTGGGCCTCGAAGGGAAGACCTCTGAGACGTATACAATCCTTCCGGGTTCCAGAAGTGATGATTTGTTGAGGCAATAGTGGCACTTGAGGGAGTTGTGCTATTAAAGGTTGTTGCTGCTCATAGGTCCGAGGGTCCATAGATCGGTTTAGCACCTGCAAAAAATTATGTCGTCAATATCTTAAATAAAAGATGTGGAATATCAGCTGAAAGGGGAAATTCTTTGACACCTGAAGCTCATAGCATTACAGTACTGTGTTCTAAAACTGCAGAAATGGTCCCGAGATCCCACTTTATGACCAAGCCTTGACCAGGTGACTTGTGTACAGTATATAATATGAAGCTTTGATGTGAAATATATATATATATTATATATATATATATATATATATATATTATATATATATATATATATATATATATATATATATATATATTATATATTTATTTTTTTTATATATATATATATATATATATATATATATATATATATATATATATATATATATATATATATATATATATATATATATATATATATATATATATATATATAAACCCCCCAAACCACTAGTGTCTGGGACTAATTCCTTAATTAGTCATGTATTCTTATATTAAAGTTTTTCCTGAGGTTGGATCTTTAGCAACAACAAGTGCGACTTATGGTGTTGCATCAATCAGTGTTGCTCGGCCACCAGCAGTCATCCCAGGCTTCAACTTTCTGTCCCAGCCAATTGCATCGCCACCAATGTGGAAGAAGACAGCCAGGTTGGATGGTTCAGACTTGTTCATAAAATGTAATTTCAGAAGGACTAAACCATGCCACAGCCAACTCGGATATCTAAAGACAGCTAGATAAAACCAAGAAGTGGACCCCTCCCCCCCCCCTCCATACAAACAACAATGTCTATGGATTTACTTAAGGATTTCAACCCCAATGACTTTGCGCTAAAATACATAAAACACCTGTGACAGGTATCTATGTGAATTTACTTTCAGAATGCGTGTGTGCGTGTGTGTGTGTGTGTGTGTGTGTGTGTGTGTGTGTGTGTGCGAACATACTGCATACATAATATCAACAAAGAAATACATACACATATTGTATGTCGCAACTGTTGATTTTACTTGCTTTCAAATATCTAAGAAAACCAAGTTACCTTTTTGAAATAACGTGTTACAGCTTCAATAACTTGTACAGCGTCTTAACTCTCTTATATAGATATGCACATGCAACAGAGATTTACTTCAATTAATGGTAAGAAAAGAGAGAAGGTACCCTGAGGGAATGTGACGCTCCCTTGTTGTCCACGATCTTGTACCTGTTAATGGCCGCACCACTCCACGTTGTATTGGGTTTCAAAGTTGATGAGATAAATGACACTGATGAAGAAGGTAATTGTTTGGCGAGTAATTTTGTTCTATCCATCTTGTACAGTACAGCAAAGTTCAATTCCTTGAGTGAATGGGATAATTCACCTGAACAGTGAGTGTCCTTATCAGGTGTCGTTCAGCAACCTTTCTGAGGCATCACAAATATTTCAAGTCTTTACGTTAGTCATCTCACTAATTGCCTTCAAGACTTCCTTTCACTATAATTACCAAGGCTTTTTAAAGTTTCCCTTGTGACTTTATCTAGCTTATGGTACACAGAAGTAGAGGAGGAATCCTACTGTATATACACACGACAAAGTACAGTAATGTTTAGTTACTACTGTTATAGTTGGGCAAAAAATCAACTAAATCAGAAATACACTGACGGAAGCATGCATGTGCAGACTCATACATTTATATAGGAAACACTAAACAGCCTGTGTGGCATAACAGTTAATCCCCCTTGCTGATGTGTCTTAGTCGACCCTTTTGTTATTTAATCCACAATCATTCAATGGACTTGTGACAAACTTCTATGACAAAGTCTTCAGAAGTTCCTATATAACAAGAGCTATAAAATACCGAAGACATGACGCCCCCCCCCTCCACACACAAAGGAGGAGCAATCTTAACATGACATGAATTTGCCCTAAATAAGAGAGAAGCGAGAAAACGTAGAAAGAAGAAAATAAACAATTAGAAGAAAATATGAAAGAAGAGACGAAACCTGACGTAACAGCAAAAGGTCTTAGTTTCAACATCCTTAATAGCCCCAATAGAACACTTATCATATAACCTGCCAATTATTTGAGATACAATGTGTGTGTGTGTGTGTGTGTGTGTGTGGCTCTCGTTAGCAGCGTCGTTTCTGAGGGATTTCAAGGAGTGATTAACGTCTTCACCTGTTTCCCTCCCCCCACACCTCAGTATAACACCACCTGCCACAAAATTCTTTCATTAACATGATTCTGTTGTATCTTCCATCAATGAAGCGTGTCAACTCCATCACAAAAATATGAAATTCTTTCAACACCAACGTGAATCTTTCAACACCAACGCGAATCTTTCAACACCAACGCGAATCTTTCAACACCAACGTGAATCTGTTGTCACCATGACCACCATAACACTGTTCACTACATCCCCCGAGGTATCATTTATATTCCAGCTTTGTGTCTTCGGCTTCCACTGTGATCCAGGGCGGTCCCTACCAGTTTCTATCGGCCTTGGGGTGAGCGCAGGCCTTGTACCCTGTGCCTGAAATACTGTACAGGTAAAGGTGTTTGGGAGCAGGTGCAGGTGTATTAGAGTCCACTAGTGTACAGAAACGTGTATCCGTATGGGGGAATAGATGCAGGTGTTTTGGAGAAGTTACAGGTGTGGGTGCGGTGGAGCTGGTTACAGGTGGAAGATGCCAGGCCACACCACCACGACAGGGGTAAGGGTTCCTCGCACACACTTCCCTTCACTACTGCAGGAAAGCACGTTTGTCAGAGCTACTGTTGATGTCTCAGCACACGCAGTGAGTGCTTCCCCCTCCCTCCCCCTGTCCACCCCATCCCCTGCCTCCTGTATTCACTACCTTCCACCTCCACCGCACCCTACCACAACCCCCCATCCCCCATTATTAACTCGCCACACTCGCCACACGTCCACAACACCTTATATGCACCTTGGTTATTTTTTCTTTTCATCCACCACTCGTGTTTATCATCATTCCGGACAATTTACGAAAAGTCATTCATTACGAAAATTTTATTACTTATTGTTTATAACACTATGGCGAAATACTGACAATCTCTCTTTTGATCTGGCATCACTGTCGTCTACGTCATTACCACTGGGTGTGACATGTGTCGTAACAAACATCCCATGGTCATATGACACAACCAGGTGACACAACCAAGTTTACAGTTCCCTCTACATGATTTACACCAAAAAGTAGGATGAGAAAACACTTACTTTAGTTCTAATCACACGATCATGATTTTACTCCCCCTCACCACTCCATGCCTCCCCTCCCCCCTCTACGCGTTCGGTTCCTCCTCACATCTTATCTCCCTCGCTCATTCTCTTCAAGCACGGTTATGTTCTTTTGCCTCCGCCGCCGCCTCCTCCTCAACCCCC